TAAAAAGAAAATTAGTCGCTTTACCAGATAATCAATCTGAAATTGATACATATGTTACATTTCCATTATTACATTTTAACTAATAAACAATTTAAAATTGTTTTATTTGAACTTATAACTACTTGTTTTATATCTATTATCTAATTATTATATCAAAATGTGTAATTTTAATCAACAGCCTTTATAAATTCTGTATAAAGAAAAATTTAAAATATTGAAATTAAGTAATAGACTTGGCTAAACAAAAATTTAATTATAAATTACCAAAAAAAAATCAATATTAAGAATCAGAATAAAAAAGAAATTATTTTATTAATTTTATTGATAAAACATTTAATGGATTTAATATAATAGTTTTATTTATATAAATATAAAATAGTATTTATTTTAGTTAATTATGTATTGTGTGGCTGAATTCACTGAAACCGCAGAAACAGAAGTTATACCAATAAGATGGATTAATAAAGAAGAAACTAGATGCTTTTGGCCTGATCATTATAAAAGCGATCGAGTAAAAAAAGCTATTTTATGTATTGAAAGTCCTAATCCAGAAAAATGGAGCAAATATTCCCTCAGAATATTACATAAATATAGTGAGTAAATTTATTAAATTTAAAAAGAAAAACAAACTTTATATTAATAATAATAAATAGATATGATAATGAACTTTGATTGCAGATTCATATCAAGAAGCTTGTTCTCATTTATCAAAAGCTGTATATACTTCTCATCTTGATTCAGAAGAAGATCTAGAGAATGAATGCAGATCTAAAAGAAAAACAAGATCGAAGATTTATGCTTCAAATGAAGAGAGCGAGGAAGAGAACCTTGTTTCAAAAAAAGTTAGACACGACAAAAATAAGAGTAAAATAGGGTCTCTTGGATTATTTGAGAAATGTTCTTCAGGCAGGGAAAACTTAATGCTATTAAACTCTGTAGCTGAATCGTCATATGAAAAAAATTTTGCAGAAAAGGAAAATTTTAATTCCTCTATTATTCCTACTATCTCTACAAATAATAATAATAAACGTTGAATGAAAAAGAAACCTCCCTTCCAATCAGAAATTTATTCTTCAAGTGAAGAAAGTCTTTTATCAAAGAAACAAAGGCAAAACAAAAATAAAGTGAAGTCTCCTCCTATAATTAGAGCACCTGATAAATATTCAGACAGGGAAGACATTACTCTAAATTCTTCTTTAGTAGAGGTATCACGTGCAAGGAATTTTACAGAAGAAAATGAAAATACTAATTCCTGTGTTATGTCTACTACTCCTATAAATAATAACAAAAATACAGGTACTAGTTTTTTATAAAATTATAATATTTGATTAAAGTAAAAGAAAAAAAAGGAAATAGTTTTTAATTTTATTTTTGTTCAACATCAAATTTAAAAAATTTGTAATGGATAAGGTGCTGAATATATTTACAAAAATGTTTGCTATTAAACAAATTTTTTTATAGATTATATCAAATTTAATCAACAATATTACTAATAAAGGATGAGTAACAGTCCTTTAAAGTTATTGATAATCAACTTAATCAGTGTATTTTAAAATGTTTATTATTAATATACTTTTTCTTAATTTTAAATTAGTCAAAGTTGTTCTTACTTACATTAAATTAATTAAATTTATATTCTTTTTTTGAACAGAATCACTGGAATTATTAATTTTGAAAAAGCTTAGGAAGCTCAATTACATACAGAATAATATTATAGTACCTGTTATACAGGAAATATTAACTCT